AAATCCCCACTATCCCCAAGAATCGGCTAACCGATACCTTACACCCTCTTTGCACATTGGTATAATATCGCCAAAATCTTTTTTGTGTGTCCAAAAAAACAGAAATGTGAATAAGTTTTTTTTTATCAGAGCATTATATATAAAAAAATATAAGAAAAAGTTATATCACATGTCAGCTTAACATTTGGATTATAATATCATGCATCTTTTCTTCCCGAATCTTTTCTTCCACTGTCTATAATAATATTTACATTAACACATTTCATATATTTCTTAAATTATTTTTAAAAAGTAAGAAAAAGAGGTCAAATATATTTTGCGTGTTTTCTTCTTAAAAATAATAAAAATAATAACAAAGTATTAAAAATAATAATAAAAATTAATTAAAAATAATAATAAAAATTTGCGTGTTTACTTCATAAAAATATTATTTACATATCTCAGAAACACATATGTTTTTATTTATAATATCTTGCGCTTAAACCGATTTGCTATTCATATTTTTATTCATTTTATAAGAAAAGTCTGTTTTCGAAATAATTTATCGAAATAATTTTATTTTATGAGCAATAAATGAATGGCCCAGATGCCAAGTGGTGCAAGTCCACCCAAACTCGATTTCGAGTTATTAGTAGATTTGAGGTGCAGACAATGCGATTTATCTTCAGTATAACCAGTATATAACTGAAATAAACTGTTTGTTTTCAAGGTCAATCAAAGCTGCAGTTAAATAGTTAAATCATTTATATATGTAGTTATGATAAAAGCAAACACAAAAGTCTTCATTTCTCAAACTTTTATTTTTTCGAATTTGCATCCACTTGGCATCTAAGCCAAAAATTTAAATTGGCTTTTATAAATTTGACTCATAAATTACTCATTACTCTCTATAATTTACTTTATTTTGTTGATATCTATTCAAAAAATACACGAAATATAAATGCATTAATTAAGAAAGCATTTTTATGCTATTAATGTACTTTTAATCAGACATTTTTATCTTCATTGGTCTAATTAAAAATATAGCAACCTTTCAATATCCAGTCACAAAACTGAATGTTACAATATGTTAATTAAATCGTTAATTCCTCTTCTATTAATTAAAATAATTTACAATAAATTGCTAAAAAACTTTTTTATAATTTAAAAAAATGCTTTTTGCGTAAAACTAATTTTTTTCTCTGATATTTTCTTAAATTAAATTCGATTTAAGAAAATCAAAATAATTTTTTCAAACACACACAAGTATCATTTTAAATAGTAAGCTAAATTCCTTCGAATAAAATTTTTTAATAAAACCTTTGTATAATTTCAGGGCTGACAAGGAAAAATCTAAATTCCAGCAAGAGGTGTATGAGCTTCTCGCGCAGCTTGACAGCGTTAGTAAGGAAAAATTGCTGTCAATTAAAACAGTCGAGAAACTGGAGATACATGTATCTGAACTGAACGTCAAGATTGAAGAATTAAACCGTACGATTGTCGACATCACTAGTCATAAAACACGGCTGTCTCAAGAGAATATTGAATTGGTCAAAGAAGTGCAGGATCTGAAGGTAAAAAGCATTTTATATCTTAACAGAGAACGTGATTATAATTTTCAATTTAGTATAAATTACATTTACTTGTTTAAAATTCTAGGTGAACATCGAAAATATTACTTATTTGAAAACGCAAATCGGGAGCCAACTCGAGGATGCTCGTCGTCGCCTTGAAGATGAAGAACGCCGTCGTTCATTGGTTGAAGCCTCATTGCATCAGGTATATTTTAACATATTTATTATATAATTAATTTCCATACAATTCTTTTACAAATAATAATAAGTAATATATGTAATAGTAATAATATGATAATAATCTGGTAATTATATTAATAATCTTATATATATATTATTAATATAAATACAATTATTATGTGTAAATCAATAGGTTGAGGTGGAATTGGAATCTGTCCGCGTCCAGCTGGAAGAAGAATCTGAGGCACGTTTGGACATCGAACGTCAATTAGTCAAAGCTAATGGAGAAGTTTCAGTATGGAGATCGAAATACGAGACCGAAGCTAATGCTCGTGCTGAGGAGGTAATTAACTTATATTTGAATAATTAGATCGATCTATTATAATCGATTTAATATCCACGCGCATTAATCTTTTTCATCTCTCTTTTATAGATCGTATGACCTAATAAACTTTCGATATAATTTTACACAGGTAGAGGAACTTCGTCGCAAATATTCCGCTCGCATCCAGGAACAGGAGGAACAAATCGAGACTTTGCTCGTGAAGATTAACAATCTCGAGAAACAGAAATCGCGCTTGCAATCCGAAGTGGAAGTTCTGATCATCGATTTAGAGAAGGTAAGATTCCCTTTCGAATTTTATTGTTAATTCTTTGCTAGCGCATCTTTTTCTGAAAAAAAAAGATACTTTAAATGTTACATTTTTCGGAAAAGTGTCTTATTCTTATAATTTTTTTGTCAAGGCCAATGGAACCGCTCGCGAACTTCAGAAGCGCGTCGAACATCTGGAAAAAGTCAATATAGAATTAAAGGCTCGTTTGGATGAATCTCTCGCAATGTATGAGCAAAGCCAGCGCGATCTCCGCAATAAACAACAAGAACTGCAACGCTTGAACGCAGAACTTGACAAGACCCGCGAATTGAAAGATCAATTGGCTCGTGAAAACAAGAAACTTGGAGGTGATTGTTATTGTTTTTTTGTAATTCAAAATTACAACAATAATAATTAATGTATATTTTTATGGTATTGTATCAAGAAGTCTTACATTCTAAAATGTATTCTTAACAATACTAAAGTTTCTCTTAGAATAAATAATTTTCCTATCAAATTTTTTTTAATTAATTTAATTTTCTTTTAATTATTATTTAATTATTTCTTAGAATAGAAAATAATTTAAAAATTTAAATTTGTAAAAAACTTCTTTATTTGTTATATAACATATTAATATTTTATAGATGATCTTAGCGATGCTAAGAACCAATTGGCTGACATGAATCGTAGACTTCACGAATTGGAATTGGAACTTCGCCGATTAGAGAATGAACGTGAAGAATTGGCTGCCGCTTATAAGGAAGCTGAAGCAGTGAGTAATCATTTATATTAATATTATATAATACTATTATATAACAAAAATTTGGGTAAGAAAATATAAAAGCAAAAAAATATTCATAGAACTATTAAGACATACTTAGAAAAAATCGAAAAGAAATTTTTAAAAAATTTTGTAATTATTAATATCAAATTTAAGTACTTATTTTCCAAATAATACGTCAAATTAGCATTCTTTAAATTTATTTTAGAATAAAACAAGTGGGTTTAATAATCAAAAAACATATCTTTGTCTTTTAATGTTCTTTAAAGATATTATGAGAAAATGTTAAATAAAGAAAAATTCAACATAGGGCCGCAAAATTGAAGAGCAACGTTCTCAGAGATTGTCAGCCGAATTGAGTCAACTGCGTCACGAATACGAACGTCGCATTACCGAAAAGGACGAAGAAATCGAAATTATTCGGTAAGTTTTTGAAAATTAACTTTTCGTTTTTGTTTTATATACCTTTTAATAGATATATTGATATTAATTTAATAGTTTTAACAATTTATGATTTACCTTATTTATTTTATTTTTTTTCTATATTTACTAATTTTTATATCAATATTATAGAATTTTTTGTAGTCAAAATTATATACTTTTTAGAAAAAAAGAATTAGTTTTTATTTTTATAAACAAAATATACACATACTTTATTCCAACCTGGGATTAAAAAAGGGAGAATTATTCTTAAAAATTTTAAAGTGTCAATGAAGTTATGTTTATATAAAACAAATTGCTTAAACGAATTTGTTTTAACTTTTAATCAAAATTTATATTACATGATCGCCTTCCTGACATTCCAAGTTTATTATACATCGATATAATCTATAATGCAAATGAATTGCAAGATACTGTTATCATAAAGTTAAATATAAATGTTAATCATTTTATTTCAAACTGTTATGTAATCAATTTTATTTTTAATCGACTATCATTCGTTGAATAATACTATATTATTAGCACATTGATAAATCGTAGCTAAATTTATTGATCCATACAATGAATCATTATCTGTATATGTGATTTCTCTCATTTGACCTCTAATTATTTATTCATGCTTAATGAAGTTCACAAGTGACAGTAGTATTAATCATGTTTTTCGATTTTGGCAGATTTATTACTTTGGCATTTTGTCAAACTTTCACTGATCTTTACTATAATTATTTTATTAAAAGATTTAAAGAACCTCTCTCTCTCTCTCTCTCTCTCTCTCTCTCTCTCTCTCTCTCTCTCTCTCTCTCTCTCTCTCTCTCTCTCTCTCTCTCTCTCTCTCTCTCTCTCTTGCTTTCTCTAATTTGTTATTATATTAATTCTAAAATCAAATTAAGAAGTGTAATACAAGTTATTATAATATATGGATACTTTATAAATATTTTACGTATTATTTACGTTTATGTAAATGAAATTATATGAAAAATAATAACTAAATTATAGGTATTGATTATCATTATTAAATAATATACAAATATAATTAAGATATAAATAGAAATTTTAACAATAATGAGGACACACGATGACAAATTGTACAATGAAACGACACTATTAATAAGTATAGTAAATCTAATTAGTCACGGTCTAATTATTATTGAGAGGTGCTGATTGGTTGTCCCCAATGTGGCAATCACAACGAAAACTATAAAGATACTACCTAACCATCGGTCCAATTTTTGTCGACGGTCCTATCACAAGAGTAACAACGGTATCAGACTTATCAAAAATCACGAATATTGCCTCCAGAAATTCGTCACATGACCAAACTGAGAGCCTGAAAATTGCAATAGACGAATACAATCAAATTAAAAAGAAAAACTGTAATCAAACAATCTAAATAATTTTATGCATAACTTTTCATATTTCTTCAAGTCATAGATAAATTATTTATACTAAAAAATAAAGTGAACATTGTGCGTGGATATTTAAAGTTTTTATCAAAAATGGCGGGTTACATGCCACCGATTCATATGCCATTGGAGTCAAAATGGCGACATTATCCGACGTACATCTACGACAAAAATTATGGCTATGGAATGAACTACTATCAGCCAATGATTGATTACATAGATATCAAGCAACGCACTCCGAGATCGACTCTTGAATCAAAATTTGAAAGAAGAATAGAGTTACCCGAATTACCCTGGTCTGATGGTAGTTTCTTATGGGAGGATAAAAGGGTGCAACCCTACACAAAAGATAATCTCATTAAATACGCGATCAACGCTGAAGACGAGGCCAGAGATCATTTGTCTCGCTTTAAGGTACAATAATATGATAAAAGGGAAAATACTGTTGGTTAAATCTTTGCGAAAAGGAACTTCTAAGAGATGCGAGCTATCCGTTTTCCGAGTGCCGTGCGACTCCGTAACTGCTTGACCTTTTCCGTTTCTAAATTTGGTGCCGCGGAAGAGACTGCCTCGTTTCGAGTGATCAAAGACGTGCGCATGGATGCTGTGCGTAATTCGTGTCATCATTGACATAGCTATATTTTCTTGTTTTGTAACTTACTCCTATCCGTTCTCTATGTTAGAAATATCAGGCACAACAGCAATGCGACATCGAAGCCGTATTTATTTCAAATTTTTTTGTATATCTAAATAAAATAATACAGCCAATAAAGATCAGTTATATTAATAAATTTGTTAATTAAAAAAGATTTCTATAATAATTTTATTAAACTAAAATTCTTTAATTAAAATAAATTTAAATTTAAATTAGAGTTAAATTTAAGTTAAATAAATTACAATTTCATGTGACATTACATATAATTCTATCAAAGTAAATTATTATTTTATCATTGATGAAATTATAATTATAATTATAATTATAATTTCTGCATCCATCAATTTCTATTATCATTAGTAAATCAATTATGTTAAATACATTAAATAATTATATTAAATACATTAGTAAATAAATTATATTAAATAAGTAATAAGTGTATATGAGTATTAAATGTGAAGGGGAGGGCAAATAATATTTTTTCAAATAATACAGAATATTTTTAATTCTTGTATTTATGTCTTCAAAAGCAACCTAGATTGTTTCTTAAGAAATTCTAGTACATCATCATCATATAAAAGTGAATTGCAACATCTGCAGGATACAATATATGTTTTGGCTTTGCTAATATTTGGCGGTTGAACGTGTTATCTTCTCTAAGAAATGATCATTTATATCTTCGTCAAACGACAGGCATATTCTATATTTTACTAGGATACAAAAACAAAATTCATCTGTCTTGCAATACAAAGTATATTCAAAAATACAATATAAAGAACTTAGAGAATACTTTTCTTCGATATTTTATAGACGAAACTTTTGTAAATAATTCTTTAAGAAAGCTTTCGTTTATTTTACCGGTTCAAGGAATCTAACCGGGCTACTAATAAAAATATCGCGGAAGTTGCTGCCGAACTGTTTCTTGGCACTCTATTATTTGGACCATTTCTCGCGGTTCTGACCAAGTCCGGGAGCGATCTGCCAAGTCGCACAGTAAAAAATCCATCTTGTCTCCCGGACGAAAGGAACACTAGGTGCCGGCAATGCATTCGGTGCATTGGCAGTCGCTCTTGAGTCTTTAAAGAGATTCGGTCGCGAGTGGCGCGAATCTCTTTCGCATTCTGGACCATCGCGGCTAAGTTTAGGTCCTAAGTGCGCGTGCACGACGGAAAACGGTGGCGCTCGATAGACGCCCGTGTAAGGACGGGCCGCTGAGCACAAAATTGACACTGACTATCTGTCTGCCTGACGTGCCCGAAGATAGCAAATCGTTCGGACTTCAGCCTGGCCAAGATCGTGCACGCCAGTCGCGTAACCAAGGATATTCTACCGCGGACGGGGGAGAACCTGAAAAGACTGCCGATGCCGTTGATGTTCGCCAGCGCTCGCGCTCACAGCGAGACCAAGCAAATTCAGCAGGAGGCAATGAGCGATATTAAGATGCAAGCATTGAAGGACGTTCAGATGATGACCGAAGGACGAGACGTACTGGAGCATGGTGGGAGAAGCCTGCGGGGAAAGTCCGCGAGAGCGATAGGATTCCAGCTGGTGACAGAGTCCTTAAAGAAGTTGTCCAAGAGTCACGAGTTGGCCGATATCCGAAAGGTCCAAAAGGAAACTGTGCAGACTTTGGATGACAGAGCGCACGGCAGATTGATAGTCGAAAGGACCAAGGCTCTGCTTGATGAGGATAAGCTGATGCAACCGCTTAACAAACTCAGCAAAGAGTTGCGTGGATTTGAGCAGAAGTCCAGCGATTATTTTCTAGATAAGAGGTATCGAGATCGGGCAAGGCGAGAGCTTTTATATAACTGTCGAGGATGCGAATATTATGTTAAGCGTGGTAGATAGGTAAGAGTTGTGTTTTGATCAAGTTTTCGAAGAAAGTAGCACAAAGAAATAAATTATCTTAATTCTTAGAGAGATAGAAAATTTTTAGAAATGCGTAAAAAAAAATAAAATAATCGATTTCGATAAGTATTTCATTTTGTCTAGCAAGGATTTACCATACTTTATATTCCTCATACTTAATATTTCCTTATTCCATATAATTATGTATACTTTTAATTATTAATATTAATTTTCGAAAACAGAAAAATGTTTAAAATAAAATAACTTTTATTTTTAATTTTAATTCTTTTACGTAATCGTGCGAAAACTGAAAATTAAATCCCAGGTTGGATAGGATAAATTAATGGAAATTAAGAAATAATAAAAAGTAGGAGAAAAAAATTAAAAATTCCAGAATTATTTGGATGATTAAAAATACGAAGTGTAAGTATACCAAAAAATTCCTAGAGCAGTAGAAAAATTAAAAAATTTACGATTGAAAAGATTTTTACCAAAATTGTGTAAATCACAAATTTGCCAATTAAAATTGACATTAAAATTTGAATAACAAAATTATTTGACATCAAATGTATTTACATCAATAATTACACTCACATCAAATGAAATTAATTAGCAAACAGACCAGCATTGAAATCGAGCAGCTGAACGCCCGTGTAGTCGAAGCCGAGACGAAATTGAAGACCGAGGTCCAGCGCGTGAAGAAGAAGCTTCAAATCCAGATCACCGAGCTCGAATTGACTCTGGATGTCGCCAACAAAAATAACATCGATCTGCAAAAGACCATCAAGAAGCAATCTCTCACTTTGACTGTAATATCGACGTTATATTTATATTTGCCAACGCGTTCAAAATGTTGGCGATCGTATCACGTTGGATCACCTCGTTTTTCAGGAATTACAAGCTCATTACGACGAAGTACAGCGCCAATTGCAAGTGACCCTGGACCAATTGGGCATCAGTCAACGTCGTCTTCAATCATTGACGGCCGAACTCGAGGAAGTTCGCGGTAATTACGAATCTGTAAGTGTATAAAATTTATTTGTTAATATAATAGACATGCTGACTTCTCTGAAAAAAATTAATTGCATTACAATATGTTCGAAACGTTTAGTTTATCCTCTGGATAAGCGAAGGTACGGTGAACAAACATGTCTAACAAACATGTAAACATTATGTAATGGCACTGTATAAAGCGTGAAATTATTATTTCGAAAGGCTCTACGTGCGAAGAGGATCGTTGAGCAGCAGTATGAAGAATCAGTGAGCCGCATCAACGAACTGACCACCATCAACGTAAATATCGCTTCATCAAAGGCTAAAATCGAGCAAGAATTGACCACTTTGGCCGGAGATTACGAAGAAGTCACCAAGGAGTTGAGAGTCAGCGATGAAAGATACCAGAGAGTGCAGACCGAGTTCAAGCATACCGTCGAGATTCTTCACGAGGAACAAGAGCGTATTGTCAAGATTGAGGCTATTAAGAAATCGCTGGAGATCGAAGTGAAGAACTTGTCCGTGAGACTGGAAGAGGTTGAGGCCAACGCCATTGTTGGAGGCAAGCGCATCATCAGCAAGCTTGAAGCTAGGGTGAGATGAATTTAAATTTTTATAGTTTTTAACATAAATTTAACTAACAGAGTTTCTCAAAAATTTTCTTAAATATACAATTCAATCTTATGCAATAAAATAATAATAATTTATCATATGATATAGAAACATTTTCTAGCTTTAACAATTTTATTGGTTAGTCTGCGAACTGGCTTGCAATATATCAATTATTAATAAATATCTTTTACGCTAACTCTTATCATAGATTCGCGATCTGGAACTTGAGCTGGACGAGGAGAAGCGCCGACACGCCGAGACTGTGAAGATCTTGCGTAAGAAGGAGCGCAATATCAAGGAAGTGATGATCCAAGTTGAGGAGGACGCGAAGAATATCACTTTATTACAAGAAGCGCTCGATAAGACCAGTCAGAAGGTCTCCATTTACAAGAGGCAGCTGCAAGAGCAGGAGGGCATGTCCCAGCAGAGCGTCAGCAGGGTTCGCCGATTCCAGAGAGAGCTCGAGGCCGCGGAAGATCGCGCCGATACCGCCGAGAGCAACTTGACCCTGATCCGCGCCAAACACCGCAGTTTCGTTACCACCTCAACTGTGCCTGGTTCCCAGGTATACCTTGTCCAGGAGACGAGGCAGGACCTGTCCTAAGTCACCGTCATCGCCAATATCTTTGCCACTTTGAACGTCGCGTCTTTATAAGTGTATGTATAATAATAAAAGTCATATGAGCGCATTAAGATTATCGAACAAATTGGTCTTCTAATAATTAATAATTTAATTAATTGTACAATTAAAAAGTGGGATTTACAGCGACATGAAATGAACAGACATAAAATTTTAATAAAATTTTCCAATTATCTCTAATTGAAAAATTGAAAATGAAACTGAATTGAAATGAAAATTTCATTCCATGCTTACTTTTGACAGGCACCGTGAACACGCCATGAGGAAATAAATGAGAGAGACGCGACATTAATCATCATAAGAGCTAAGGGTTTTCAACGGATGCACGGCGTGTTATTTTCAAGGGATAAAAATTGGAGCCATCAGAATATATGCATAAATAATATACATATAAATGTGTCGATGCGAGTGCAATTATCATCACATAACGACCCGTCATAAATTCGAAATTGCTTCGTTAACGAAACACGCGATACGTCGCAACGAAAATGTTTAAGTAAAGGGAAATTAACGCTCACTATTTCAGGGATCCGCGCAAAACATCAGAAACTCGAGAATCGATGTATCGTTCAACGATACGGTAATAAGTAACAAAGCTTAACACTCTTCTCGTCCCAATTATGTAAGTATAATCGAGCGTGAGGGCAGAGAAAACGGACAAGGAACATAAGAGGAGAGCAATGGTAATTTGTGCCATTTCTATTCGCGCGTGTCGCAATTGTATTTAAATGGATAACTTTAAATCTCTCTATTCTATTATTATACATATAGATAGGTAACTATTGCCCATATACACAACTCTCACTGTACAACATACCAATAACCTGTGTCAACATTAATTTAATAAATAAAGTGAAACGCGTACGTACGAAAATGTTTGCGAATTTATTTCCTATGCTTCTCAAATTCTCCTTGCCCTAAAAAATTTCATCAACAAAATTACTTTAATATCATCAATAAATGAATTGATCATTGCACGAGAATTAATCTCATTATATAAATATTTTATAAATATATTTGCAATTAATATTTTATAAATATATTTGCAATTAATCTCATTATATAAGTATTTTATAAATATATTTGCAAAAAAAATTCATATATTTCTATATTTTTCTATTATTCTAACTTCACTGCAAAAATAGCGTATTTCAATTAATTTAATTATAAAAAATAATTTAACAATTTATTTCTTAATTATGAAAAATGTATTAAATATTAATAAATATATATTTTGACTATAAAAAATAAATTGTTAAAATATATAGTGCGGTAGGAGATTCTAAGGAATAAACAAAGAGGTACATTAAAGTAAATTTAATTTATTCGAGCTAATTTTATTCTTTCCGGACCACTATGGCGTTTATTAGTAGGATCCGTTTAGAAAAGCCAGATTGGTGATACCCAAAACATACGAGTTTTCCATTTCTAATCATGCACCTGTAAAATCGTTAAATCTATTTTTTATCAAATTTTTCTTACGTTGAATGATTAAAAATGTTGTATGGTAAGATGCCGTTAAATCTCATCTCATACGTTGGGCTCCAACAATCTCGCATTTCCAATTACAAATCAGAAGTTAATAATAATAATTAATAACATTAGGTACGTATATCTATTAACAATATTAAGATCCATCCACACCGCCAGGCACGCTTTATACAGCGGCAGAGCAATTAATTAATTGATTAAACAAGGTTTTTACTTTATAAATCGTAGAAAATTCGATTCTAATGAAAGATGAACGCGTTGTAAAGAGTTATAGAACGACGTACTGTTAGCCCATTATTAACAGAGAAACGCAGAACGATCTCGATAGAGCCGATTGTTGTATTCGAGTCACGAGACATGCGAGATACGATATTGCGATCATATAATTTATAGAAAAACGGTAACTCATGGGATCGTCGGTGCTTTCGCATGTTCGTGACTTGTATTAACACTATAGATCATTTCATTTAGAGAGGAATAAAGTATTTCAGTCTTTCGAACATGTATCAAATCAAGAAACTTTCTCAGGAAAAAATGTAATCATAGAAAGAGTTGCTGCTCTCCATATTCTCATTTTTCGTTAGTTTTATGCATAATTTGGAATTTTTAAATATTTCATTTTTATTACAATCAATGTATGTATTTTGCAACGTTAGAGCTGATTCATTATTTCTTATTGTTTCTATTATAATGGAAGCCGACAAACTTTTCCTATTTCAAGATAAACTTTTTACAGCAACAATCTTCTATAATAACAACTGTAATCGCGGTATACTTGAAAACAGATGGAAAAAATAGAAAATCGAACAAATAAAAGAGACGTGACATTACAAATGTTACGAGTAATTAAAAAAAAACGATACCATTCACCAACTCACCCATCTGTTATTACGAAAATTACAAGTGCTCGCTCTATCATTATATGTAAGTTGTCAATAAACATTTACACCATTATGTACAGAGTATTATACAATAAAATGGGAAACACAGAGAATAAAAGTGATGATATAATGATGATCAACAAATCATCGATAATAATATTAATATTTTATACATGTGTGTGTGTGTGTTTAAGAGGTGTATATGTATATATATGTATGTACATGTGTGTGTACATGCACGCATACATATATATATACACACTTTATCTAAATTAATAGCGTGATTCAAAACAAACGAAGAATTAATCATAAATACATGCAATTTAATCTGAAAGCTTTCCCGTTTTTTGTTTAGCTTAATTTTTATTTGCATCAAATAATACGAAATAAACGGAACAATAAATTACAAATTAAATTAATATTGTAAAGAAAGGAGACAATAAATTATAGCAAAGTTATATAACAAACTTTTTCAATATTTAGAATTTCACATATAACGCAACTATTTATTTTGACCTGATTAAACAAATATTCGAAATTATATGTGTAATTCATTTAACAA